TTAAAAAACAAATATATAATAAGGACAATTTTTTAAATTGAATTTATTCAATAATTTAAGTTTGCAATATTTTTATAATTAATATATTTCATAACGTAATAATTTTTTATATTTTGAATTTAATAATATCTTAATTTTTCTAAAAGATTAAACAGGTTCTCAAAATTTCTAAAACATCAATTATGTACTCGAATTTAATAAAAATAATAATTAAACACATCTATCAAATCATGTTCATCGAAAATTTTCACATCACATTGTAAATTATCATGTAAGTTTTCTAAATTGTCATGTAATGACGGTTTGATTCTGTTGGTCAAAGAATTAGATATTTTTTAAAATTAAGGGTTACATTGAGTGTAACAAATATTCAAAAAGACTACATTAATTTTTTTTTTGAAAAATTTGAGGCCTTAGTTATTGCTAAATCTAATTTTTATTTTAACAACAATTTTTTGTACTCTTGTTTACAACAATATTTTTTTATATTTTTTTAATTTAATTGATGTTCAATATGCATTAATATTATATTTCTATTATAAACTAAAATAACATTTTGTTTAAATTTTTTTATTACCTTTATTGTTTTATGTTTGCATAACAGTAACTCATATGTTAAATTTATGTAAAGATTTTTTTAATAATTATATTTTAATTTAATTATTTAATAACTATTTATTCATCTCTATGAAAAATTAGATACTAAATATATTTCCACTATTTTTATTTTCAAATTCAAGTTTTTATTTATATTAACCCAACAAGTTTTATAATTTTCAAAAAATTAAACGAGGTTCGGCTCTCTACTAAATCATAAACGGCAGTTGTGGCTTGTTAGTTGAAGTGAGGTACCTATTGCAGGAGCTGCTGTATGCCAAAGAGAAGCTGCTCGAGAACAGTGACCGATCGGAGAATCTCAGATCCGAAAGCCTTTATCGGCGATGTTGGCCCTCTATTTCCCTCTTTTATTGGAACAACAGTTGCTGCTTTCTTATTTTCTCTAAAGGAAAACATATAAGCATTCTCTTTGCTCAGGGAACAAAATGTCACCATATATTCAATACATACACGGTGCATAACCCCACTAAATATACACAAACCCTTTGTTCCTTGGTGAAATTTCATTATTATCTACAAAGAATGAGGCCACTGAGTTCTTCAAACTCGTTACGACTACCTCCCCGGCAAATCCTCTCTCCGAGAATATCAATTTCTCATCTGTCCCCTCCTTCGAAAACTCGTTTTCATTGGCTAGATAAGCTACTACCATCAGTCTTCCCCGGGGTACCTTGGGCTGTTGAGGAACAAGACGGTGCATTTTCCATGAGACCAGATTCAAACCTTCGCCTCCTTTCAACCTTATCTGCAACCCTTTCGTCAAACTCTTCATCGGTGCAGGCCAACATGTAACGAAGTTTGAAGTTTACCCGATTCTCCACCATGATTTTATGCCTTGGAATTATTCGCTCTTCGAGAGAATAGCTGAAAAACCTGCTTAACTTTCACTATGTCAAAACCCCAAGTGAAAAAGAAGACTTGGATTAAGTGAAGAGAAATGTCTAATGCCCATAGAGATGAAAACAGGGATGCATATTCTGCTGACTGAGAAATAATAAATTCGATAAATAACTCTTTCCAAGTCCCATTAGGATTCAAGAGCCTATCGGCTCATCTCCCAGGACCTGGCTCTCAACAATCATAGTTTTGCCTTGATCGTAACTACTTTCAATGAAATAGATAAACAGTAATGCTTACCTTGGAAACTCGATCAGATCCTGCAAGGGACGGACCATCGTTCTTCGTAAATATCGATACTTGGGATAGAGAAGATCTACTTTATATCGAAGTAGTTTAGGGAAATTAGCAATCATCTCACCCAGCTGTCTAACTCGTATGCCAAGTGAAAGAAAATATTTTACATTAACATCGAGGGTTTTTGTTATACTGCAACCAAATAGCTCTGGTCCCAAAGCTACAACCTTTCCGATATCCTTCTCGGTGACTCCAGCTTTGGTCATCAAAAATATGACCTGTAAGATATTCCGATGTTATGAATAAGATTATATTAGATCAACTTAAAATCTTGAACAACACATAGATGGTAGACTACCAACATAAATAACACTAATGGTAAAACCAAAAGCAGAACTATTTATAACCAGAATCGCATCCAATTTAATGCCCGGTTGAATAATCTCATCCAACTAAAAAGATGAACTACTACAAACTTTTAGATGATCCACAAAAATCAAAATGTAACAATGAAAACAGTGTTAAAGAGTAAATCAAAAGAAAAAGAACAAACCACTGGTCGAATTCTCTTGTGCAGGCTGTATGTTAGTAGGGGAGGGAACTTAACAAGCATGTTACCAATGGCATCCTCTCGAACACCAAGGTCCCGGAAAAATTGTACCTGAAAAGGCGAAGAACAAACCAATGCCAACATCAACATTATACAGCATAATATCGCAACAATTCGATGAAGCAGATTTCAGGTTCATGTGAGCTGAAGCATTGTCTTTGTGACATATAGTCCTATTATCTAAATGTACTCGAGAAAAATTAGAGGATCACAAAGGGAAAATATAATATAAATGAAATGCGAAGGACAACATTAGGTAACGAAGATAACATTTAGGAAGTAAAGCGACAACAACGACCTTTGGTGCAATTGTAGTCTCGAAATCAAAACAGAAAATCATTGGCTTAATGGTAAGCATTCTCCTCATTCCATCTCGGGTAATTCCAAGGTAATATAAGTACTTAACAAGAGGCTTCCATCTTTCTTCAATGCTACAGCCCATCAACTGTGGCCTGAATGCTAGTAATTTCCCAACATGTTCGGTATCGAGGCCAAATTCTTTAAGATAATTAACCTGGATGAACAACAGCAGCATATTAACTTAAATCATTGAACACATTAAAAAGTAGGTAAAAGGAAACCCCATAGCATTGTGATCCATGTGTCAAGTTCGAGGAGCAAGCAAATTAGACAGCTTACCTTTTCATTCATCTCTTCAAGAGTGAAGTAGCCGAGTACGCCCGGATAATCAAATACCATTGTCCCGAAATCATTCTCATTCATACCCATACTCAAGTAAAACTCAACTCGAGCTTTCACTTCCTCCATCCTATAGGACAGCAACCTCGGGCATCGGCTAATAACAAAACCAATCCAATCCCTCCTAACTCCATTACTCTCCAAATACTCAACGATCTCATCCAATTCTTCGATTCTCCGTTGCAAAATATCATCTCCGGATTTCAAAAGCGTTGAACCTATAAACTCTCCTTTCACATGAACCGTCTTCAACCACTCGACAAGCCGTCTTATGGAGTAAAGATTTCCTTTAGACATGCATATCAGCTTAGCAATTTTGGGGTATGAGAGGCTATTGTGTTTCAGCCACCTATACAATTGATCAATCAGATATAATTTCTATTTCATTGAAATACTAATGTTATTAACATAAGCAATTAAAAGCAATGGCTGACCTTATAAGGGGAACAACATTGGAGTCATCAATAACCACCCTAGCACGTAAATTGAAGGTCGAATCTTTAAACTCAGGCAACCTTTTCAAGGCGGCCGCTTCAATCATCACGTTATCAATAAACTCCGGCAGCCTATTAACCAAATTCGTCGAATAAGTAATCCCAAACTTTCCCTTTTTCATTGCTCCTTTAAAAACCTCAGCTGTTACCTTTCTTCTAATCTCAAGCGCCCGCCTTATCATCACCTCCTCATCCTCCTCGTCGTCGTTTTCTAGGCGTTGGGCGTCGTTTTGGGTTTGGAGAACGGATTGGAGAGAAGGGAGGGAATTTGAGTAAATGGAGCCTGGGAATTGCGGGGGACGTTTGGTGACGAGGGACATTTCTAGGATGTTTTGTTTTTCTTGAGGTGGAAGTGTAAATTGTGGGGTTTGGGGATTATCTTCGGTGGCTTGCGAGGAATCTCGGTGCTGGGGTTGGTCATTTTCGTTTCCATGGGGTGGATTCTCTGTTTTGTTGTTGTTGGTGGTGGTGGCCGGTTGGCGGTGGAGGAGGGAGGTGGTCTTTGAGTTATGAATACGGAGGACGGGGTCAGGTGATTGAGTAGTGGGATGATTAAGTTGGCGGTGAAGGGAGGAGGAGATGGTGGTGGAACGAGCGTAACGGTGGAGATGAAGGTGGAGGCATGGCGGAGGAGAGTAAGAAAGCATTTTTGGTTATGGTAGGAATTGCAAATGGATAAAGTAGAAATATATTTTTCTTAGTCTCCTTACCCTTAATAATTAGTATTAAACGTAAAATAGTAAATTGTTGGGTTCCATGGTCTAGTGGTCAGGACATTGGACTCTGAATCCAGTAACCCGAGTTCAAGTCTCGGTGGAACCTTATATTTTTCAATTTTCTTCCATTTAGAAATTGATTTAATTATTATTTTTGGTCCTTTATTATATTTAGGGATGGTAAAATAATCCGAACTCGACGGGAAAAATCGAAAATCGAGCTAAACGAGGACGGGGATGGAGAAAAACCGTTTATGTTAAACCGGGATATAGACGGGGACGGGTTTAGTAATCTCCGCCCCGATTACTCGGCCTGATAAATATTAAAAATAATTATATATATATATAATATTAATAAATTTAATTTAAATTAAAAAAATATATATAATATTTATATATTTAATTTAAATATATATATCCGGCCCGATACCCGTTTAAATAACGGTTTATGCTAAACGGGGATACCCGTTTCCTCGCGATTTTCCCGTTTACCCGATGGGGATCCCCGTTTAAATCCCCGCGATTTTTTAAGCGGGGACGAGTACGGATTTTTTAAACAGGACGGGGACGGTGGACTAATACCCGGCCCGAACCTGGCCCGTTGCCATCCCTAATTATACTTTAGTTTGAGATTTAATCCTTCAATTTCAATGAAGTATAATTTGATCATGTTACGTGGTTCTTATATCTCAACAAAACGTCCACTTTGGGGAAAAATTATTTCCTTTTTGTTTTATTTATATTTTCCCATAATATTATCATATCTACATGGAATTTCTAAAAAAAATCGTGTATAGATTGATTTGTTTTTAAGGGTATTGACCCTAGGTGTCATAATAGTATATCAAATGATAGTTCAAGTATTATTTTAGATATTTTATCAAAGTATACATGTATTGTATTAGACATCTTAAAAGTGCATGTATTATATTAAACATTTTATCAAAGTACATGCATCATATTGAATATTCTGTTGAAGTATAGATATTGTATTGAACATTTTAAATACCAAACTGATCACTTTTGTAAAAATACAAGTACCGAGTGTGACATTATCCCTTTTCATAATATTAATTCTATACAATCATTTTATAATGTTATTATTCGAACATTCCAAATTACTACAACTTGATCACACGATAAAAATTGTGGCTTGTTTTTACCCTGAAACAAGCTGTCAAACAAATATGAACCAGCAATTGTCAATGGCACCCCTTTCACTGTCCACGGCACCAACTCTAAGCATCTAAAGAAGATTAGTGCATCCTCGGATCCGTTCCGATCCGATGCAGCAAAATATCACCTTGGAAATCCCATTTACCTATGGGGAGCTCCATCCGGTGCTCGACCAGAGCAGGCACTCGAATGGGAAGCCTGCTGTCTTATTAAGAAAGAATTGTATGAACAAATCTAACCTCTCTGCTAGTTGCGATCCTCTCGTTCTATATCCCGTTGTGGTTCCGGTGGCTCAGGGAATATCTCCATTGAATGCCGCCTACGCGAGGATGAATGGTCCCCTCCACCGTTCTGAGTGCTTCCCTGCGAACCCGTTGTTCCCTTGTGTTTTAAACTACTTCCCCTTTCAGCTCTAGTAGTGGAGGCTGCGGGATTAACGGCTACGTCCATAGAGCTTTGATGCCAGCTACCAAAGAAAGAAGCATTCCACGATCCTCTCGAGGACGTTGTTCTAAGCCTCGCTGAACTTGAAGTATCTTCCCTAACCACCCTCAAAGGATTTTCCAGAGCTTTTAGAATATATCTCATCGGCGGCGTCTTGAAGGTTTCGAATTAAGACAAGACCTCGCAACAATGGCCATGGCCCAGACTTCCTCCAATAGATCATCGTCCACAAGATGAGACGGTTCCAGAATTTTCGTCACCAGTTCCTTTTCATATATACTGATGCATAGTAGTGTTTGTTCTAACCATTCCTTCATCTGAGTATCACTCGATACACCGATGTGCATCTTACCGGTTACCAATCCAAGTAAAACTTTCCCGAAGCAGTAAACATCATAGGCACATATTGCTGTAGAGGAACCTGCCCGTTTTACAAATAAAAATGAAATTTCAGAAAAGCTTGCAGATCAGATGAAAAAAACGTTTTAATTGTCAATCCTATGCTCTCAAGCTTTGCTCATATTTTGGAAATCGCACTGGCACAATGGTAGCCGGACATGAACCTTGAATGTCAATGGTTACTTGTTCGTAAAACGGCCGAATTCAAGCAATGAACGAAAAATCAACAAATAAACTGCTTGAGATAACAATTCAGATCTAAATATTCGTGAAACTTTGCAAGCAGAACGTGCACATACCTAAAGAACCTTGTTCAGAAGACCTGTGAGCAACAAAGAATAAAACCGTATTACAACCATTATCGATAAAACAAGCATAAAAAGCACGAAATACGACTCAAATATTTTGTTCGGAACAGCAATATAATCCATAAAATGAAAATGAAGACCGAAAAATGCTATCTGCTGACTACTATTAAAATGTTAAATTGTCCGATGTATCGGTCAACAGACTAAAAAGCGATATATCACAATCAGCATGCAAGATCTTGTTCACCAGACATCTTATGTGGGCTAAAATGTTCGTCTATGTATATAATTCACAATCTGAAAATATCAAAATAGACACAATTCTACAGAATACTCACTGTGGCAACCGCAGTAATCTCGTGATCCTATTTTGATGACCATCTTCATGAGCGCAGACCTCGGTCAGGCTCCCCAGTCTCACTTCAAATTTATCATCGAGTAGTTTACTGGTGGCTTGAACATCTCTTCAAAGATGGAAAGAAAACATGCGACTGCAAGTTTTTTCAGTTTCTCTATATTCCACTTCATGAAGAAATTACGATGTGCAGGAGAAAAACCATCATGGAACTGAAGGCGGTTTAAGCATAAAACGAGAAGCTGCAAAATACCTGTGGACAAGGGGTGGTGTGCATTCATGATGCAGATAAGAAAGGCCTTCAGCTGCTCCTATAGCAATTTTCAATCTTGTTATCCAATCTAATGACTGTAAACTATCATCTTCCGTATTGTTTTTCCTGTACAAGGAACTTGATAAGTCCCCGTTCGGCCTATATTTACAAACCAAGAATTTTTCGTTCTCTCTCTCTAAACAATGTACCAATAAGAGAACGATTCGTGGATGTGAAACTTTACTAAAGAACTCCAATTACGAAAGGTGCGCTTCCTTTTTGATAGACTGCAAATCAATCCTTTTAATGACAACAGGAAGCCCGCCTTCTAAGATACCCTTGAAGAGATCACCAGAATGACCGTGCTTGATGAGGTTTGCGTCATTAAAATAATCTGTGGCTTCAAGAAGTTGCTGGTAGGTAAATAAATCACCCAGACTCGAAAAATTAATTTGTACTCCGGGTGAAGGGGGTGTTTCTCTAGCAGCAACTGCTCCAGCATCGATCCCTCTATGGTTCCTTGTGTTCCTCCTTTTACGGAGACATAGGACCAGAAATAGCAACAGGATTAGTAGCGCAACAAGCCCAGCTCCTCCTAAGACTGCAGCCAATACGATTGTCCTTCTGTTGCTGCTTCCTCTTTCGGGTTCGCCCGAAATTGTCAAAACTCAGGCCCCTCTCGGAATAGAATGAGGCACACTGCGTCAAATTCCTCTGTCTTGACACATTTTGGAGACAGTTAGTGCTAAGAAATGCATTGTCCTGCACATAGTTTGGAACTGTGCCTTCAAAATAGTTTCCAGACAAGTCGGTAAAGCTTCGAAGCATTGTGGTGAGACCTCCATAAAACTTGTTCTGGGAAATGTTAAGTACGGCAGCGGCCGCATTATCATTCAAAGTAGAATTAGGAAGCTTCCCTCTCAAATTATTGTGAGAGAGATCGAGCAGGTTCAACTCAGGTATTGACCATAATACTTCAGGAATGTTCCCATTGAAACTATTGTTCTTCAGAACTATGACCCGCAACTGACTTGGGGAAGGGAACAACCCAACCGGCAGAGCCCCTCCCAAACCATTGTTCCCGAAGACCATTCTCCGCAAATTCCTTAGCCCTCTAAGATCTAGTGGCACTGACCCTGACAAACCATTGCTGCTGATGTCAAGGTCAACCAAGCTATCAAGACCCCCGAGTTGCGCAGGTATTGAAGACGTTAAACGATTGCTCGAAAGATTCAGACTTTGTAGCATTGAAAGGGATCCATGGCCAGGAGGAATTGACCCTGCTAAATTATTCGAGGAAACGTAATAACTGTTACATTCCTTAGTGAAAACAGTGATGATGGAATAGATCCGGTAAGGGAATTCTTCGAAAGATCAAGAAATAAAAGGCTTAATAATCCACCCAAAGTCGAAGGAATTCGCCCGGTCAGCCGATTATCCGACAAATATAGACTAGTTAAATTAGTCAAATTACCAATACTCAAAGGTATAACACCCGAGACAATACAAGACCTGAGATCCAACACTTGCAATGTCAACAGCCTTTGGCCAAACCAATCAGGGACAGAACCAGGGAGCAAGAACCTAGAGGCGTTAAACGAAACAAGACGGGTGAAATTCGCGAGCGAATCGACGGCAGACTGAGGGTTTTGTCTGCCGAGCCTTGTTCTTCTAAACCCAGAAATGATAATGGAAGTAACACTGCCATTTTCACATCTTATACCGTTCCAATTCGTACAAGGGTCAACTTTTCTAGGCTAGTCTCTTCTTCTAAGACCCAAAGAGGATATGAGTTTAAACAGAGCTGCGAACTCGATACCTGAACTCAGCCGAGTCTGCTGCATTTGTTGCTTAAATGTAAACTCAAATAGCATCAACGACAACAAGAGAGGTAACAATCGTATGCTACGCTGATCCACCATGGCTCATGGAGGTCTAACTATAAACCCAATCATCAAATCCTTCTAATTTTTTTCTTTTTTTTTCTCTCCCGCTTTAGAAGGAACAAAAATAAAACATCTACTTTC